CACACACACACACACACACATATATATGGGCAGCTACTCAACAACTCAATAGTGAGTAAAATTGTCTCACTTTTAATATCATTTGTTTTTATTTCACATTTAGACAGTCGTACATGTAGTACTTTTCAGTGTTTATAAAGGGAAATGTTAAAACACTGTTTTCATGCAGGAAATACCAGGTAGAGCTCGGTTATTGTTTGTTAGTGGTGCTCAGCTGTAGCAATGAGACAAACGTGACATTTTGTTTAGTTGAAGTTAAACACGAAACAACTGGGCCATCATAACGCTCATGTGGCCCTCTGTGAAAATGAGTTGTACCCTCCTGTTTTATGGTATTTGATGATGGTTTTAAAGCCACTTCTTATACAGTATGTTGAGTAGGGCTGCAACTAACGATTATTTTAACAATCGATTAATCTGTTTGTTGATTATTTTTCGATTAATTGACCAAATCATTAAATCGCTTAATTACATGAGTAGATAAAAACTAATTTCATTAAAGATGCAAGTTATTGATTAATTAGTTAATCTGAAGTTGATTTATCTTATAGACTGACTAAGAATTAATTGATAAGCAGCCATTTTCTTAAAAACTGGAGTTTTCTCTTGAATCAAGAGGGTCTTTCCATAAAATGAAGGATTTTTTTTAAATCACTTGAATTAAAAAACAGAAGCACATCATAACTGTTTTAACAATTTACTTTGACAGTTGTATTAAATACTGACTGAAAAAAGTGTATTTCTCATTCGTGTGTAACTGGGTGGTTTGGTTACAGGAAGTATCTTTGTGGTCGCTGTGATTTCCCCCCTGAGTGGTGGCGGTGCTGCCTGGCTAATTAGTATTTAGGCTCCTGGTGCGCATGCCAGGCTTCTCATGCACAAAGAGCATAGGCTGGTGATCGGACCCTTTACGCGTGGCTACAGGCATGTCGGCAACTTTGCTGGGTGAGCGCTGGCATCTTGATCCTCAGGTTTTTGCAACCGGTCAGGTTTCAGAAGGACGGTTTTTGAGGTAAATGTGTTTTGATCATTATATGCGACTGTTTGTGGGATCAATATAGCTAACTTTTTGGCGTCCTTTGGATGTCTGATTACGGCCGTGGTTTCTCTGCACCTTGTTGCTGTTTTGTTTTTATAAGGGGTAAATGTTTGCCACACTCGCTAAATATTTACTTGTTTTCAGGATATGTGCCATTGTGTAGCGGGTGCCACGGAGCATCGGTGGGTCACTGAACTTTCTGCCTTTGAGTACACGATCAGATATCGCCCGGGCCGTGTGAACAAGAATGCTGATGCTCTTTCAAGACAATGGACCAGTGGAGACAGGACACAAATGGAGTGCCACCTCCCCGGGACCAGTGTTCCAGAGACAATTGGTGAGGTGTTTGGGGGGATGCAAGAGGATTCTGTCCAGTTGGCAATCACTGCTCTTCCCTCCCGCAGTGAGGAGGATCTGAGGGCTCTACAAAGGGCTGCCATCTCAGCCTTTCTGGAGTTTTGGCAGCAGCAGAGGGTGCCAAGTCGTGCTGAGAAAGAGCGGCTGGTCATGTCATGGGTGCTTGTGAACCTTTCAAACAGTGGGACCGGATTGTCGAGAAGGGGGGCCTTCTGTATCGGCGCAGTTGGAGACCAGACCGGGGGGGGGGGTTCTTCAGATCCTTCTCCCAGAGAGCCTCAAAGTGGAGGTGCTGCAAGAGCTTCATCAACATCATGGCCACCAAGGGATAGAGAGAACAACTGATGGGGTGAAGCAGAGGTGTTTCTGGCCAGGAGTGGACAAAGATGTGAAGAGCTGGTGTCAGCAGTGTGAGAGGTGTGCCCTGGCTAAGAACACCCATCCATGAGTTCGTGCTCCCATGGGTCACCTCCTCGCTTCAAGACCAAATCARGTGTTGGCCATTGATTTTACCCTGCTGGAGCCAGCTCGTGATGGAAGGGAGCTTGTGATGGTGATGACAGACGTGTTTTCAAAGTTCACCCAAGCTATTCCCACTCATGATCAGAAAGCAACTACGGTTGCGAAGGTCCTGGTTCAGGAGTGGTTTTACTGTTTTGGAGTGCCAGTCCGCATTCACTTCGACCAAGGGAGGAACTTCGAGGGTGTTCTGGTGCAGCAGTTGTGTGAATTGTATGGAGTTCATAAAAGTCGCACTACGCCCTATCACCCGCAGGGCAATGGACAATGTGAACGTTTTAACCGGACTATGACCAACCTACTTCGTTCGCTTCCCCCAGAGGAGAAACTGAATTGGCCAGAACACCTTCCTCAGCTTGTCTTCCATTATAACGCCACTACCCATCAGTCAACTGGCGAATCTCCCCACTTCCTTATGCTTGGACAAGAGCCCCACTTGCCAGTGGATTTTCTAATGGGCCATCTTCCTGAGCCCACAGCGTTCAGGGTGTGTCATTGGGTTGCAGAACACAGGAGATGAATGTGTCTATAGATGTTGCCAGAGACAGAGCGGAGTTGGCAGCTCGGAGGAGGAAATTGAGGCATGATGAAAAGGTCCAGTGTGCACCACTTGAGGTTGGGCAAAGGGTATATCTGCGTGATCATGGTCCAGGGCGCAGAAAAATTCAAGATACGTGGGGGTCCACAGTGTACCAAGTTGTGAGAGGGCCAAGCCTAGGTGGTGTTGTATACTCAGTTGCTCCAGTTGATAAGCTCCACCTTATACAGTAAGACAAGTGCACCGTACCTCAATAAAGCCTGCTCTGCCTCCACCAGATACCTGCTTGAATGCTTGGCTACAGAGTTCGTCTGATGAGGCCAGTGATGAGGATGATGTGGAGTATGGATCTTGGTTAAGTGTTCCAGGAGGCTGTGAGTAACCCGTTTGCCCCGAAACTGGAACTGCAGCCACCAGAAGTGCTGCAGGTTCATACACCTGCTGGAGCAACGCAAGCTTCGTTACCCCCTCAAAGCAGTGGCATTGGCCCGAGGAAATCCACCCGTAAAACGGCTGGCCAGCAYTCTAACCCTTATCACCTCCCTGGATCAGCTGGGGGTAAGGACAAGGGGGCGACTGTTCCTATTGTCCCGGGTACCAGCAGTGTGGTTCCAGCTATCTTTTGGCCGTGGTCATAGTTGTGACTTATTGGTGGGTCACGATACATTGGGGGGGGGGGGGGGGGGGGGGGGGGGGGAACCAGGTGGTTTGGATACAGGGAGTATCTTTGTAGTTGCTGTGATTTCCCACCGGAGTGGGGTTCGTGAATGCACCTTTCGCCCCTCCTTCCGCTTTCTGGTGGCGGTGCTGCCTGGCTAATTAGTATTTAGGCTCCTGGTGCGCACACCAGGTTTTTCATGCACAAAGTGCGTAGGCTGGTGATCGGACCCTTTACGCGTGGCTACAGGCATGTTGGCAACTTTGCTGGGTGAGCGCTGGCAACGTGATCCTCAGGTTTTGCAACCAGCCAGGCTTCACAAGGATGTTTTTTGAGGTAAATGTGTTTTGATCATTATATGCAGCTGTTTGTGGGATCAATATAGCTAACTTTTTGGCGTCCTTCGGATGTCTGATTACGGCCGTGGTTTCTCTGCACCTTGGTGCTAAGATTTAGAATAAGCACTTTAGAACCAGCACTTAGCACTTTAGAACCAGCACTTTAGAACTGTTGCAGTTCCATTCAACCAGAAACTACCCCTCCGTTGTAATATCTTGTGAACTAGTTCTTTTTAATACTGGGAAAAAATAATAAAA